TTGCCCTTATTGGCTGAAGAGTTTAGTTACACGCATGACGTTTGTATCCCAGGCAGTTCCGATGCGTAATCTGCTATTTTTCCCAAATGTCACGTAAAGCAGTGAGAACTGATTTTCAGTTAATTTACCTGGTAAAATAAAGTTTAAATAAATGACATAAATGCTCTAATAGTACACGTAAGTTAATGGTTTATTTATTGTTAGTTACAGTAATGTTGCGCTGCTTTATTTGGTTAATCGTCCAGTCTGTGAAGAAGGCATTCAAGTAAGAATTGCATTGTAGTATGACTCATTTCCTGACGCGTACAATTTGTATTAGGTCAGCGTTCATGGTTCGACTTCTGATATTCAGATCGAGTTCTAGGTCAAACTGGTTTGTTCGACTTTCAAGAAATTCAAGTTCTAGTGAGTTCGAGAACCGAGGTACCACTGTATTATGATTTTTCTCTACACAGCTGCTCTGCATAAAGTTGCATCAGTGAGAAAATGGGTCAGAGCATTAAAACAAACAGCAGTCCACTCCAGCGCAACGCTTGCGACCTTCAGTCCTTACGCCTGCTCACCACTGCCATCGCACACTGCTGCTAATTACCGCCCAGTATGGCTCTCAGGATAGAGTGAGCAGTTCCACAAAACCCGGCGGGATCTTCTCATGCTGAGCATCCACTCAAAGCCGACGGCTGGACGCAACTAACGCCCTCTTCCAGCAGACGGGTGCAGTGATATATATCCTTGCAGGTTCTCGAGAAAGGAAAAAATAACAAAATGCATGAGGGATCATTTACAGGTTAAAACGCAAAAAGAGGCCCATACAGTAATCCTGGCCTTTGTGGCTCTATGATCCCTGGCAGATTGCTGGTAGGTGGGGGGGTGGATGGAAGATGGACCAACTGGGTCAATGAAACACAAGGGGTTACTGTCGCAGGGCGTTAAGCACCTGACATGGACACAAGCTGTGATTATTCAGCTCCTCACTCAATGGTACATCAGCAACAATCGTCCTGGGATTTGAACCAACAACCTCTAGGTACATGTCAGGAACTACTGCACTATGCAATTCCCAGTTAACAGCTCTCTCATCAAAAGCAGACAGTGAATGCTGTCATCACTGCGAAATCTGTGCACCCCTGATTTGCTTTTTTAAGTGCCCACGCTATCTCCCCTGGATCAGCACTGGCCCTCCCCCCAGTGTCTAGTAGATGCCCTCATTACCATGAAATTGTCAAACAGTCTAATCGACCACTGATTGCACTGCCGATGCACGCTGCTCATAGACCTCCATACACAAAAAGAATACCTGCAGAATAAATGAACCATTATAGAGAAGGAAGAGAACGTTCCAAAAACTGCAAGGTTATCTTCAACGGCTTCTATAATTTTCTTTCACAGTGCACCCTATTATCCTGCTGGTTACTTCTGCAAAGCAAATTATATGTTATAGCCCGTTATTCCATAATTTGAACATTTTATCAATTTTTTCCCCCCATTCTAAAATACATTATATTCCACCTGAAATCCAGGGAAGTTAAATGTATTTTAGGACTGTACAGACAGTCTGGAAAATATTCAGTGTATTCAGAAAGGGTCTGTTCCTTTTATCTTGATGCAGCCTTAAACCACAATTCTGACAGGTACATTTAATCATGACGGACCGGATCACAGAAACTGTACCCAGATCAGAGTAATCTTTATTACATTACAGTTTTTCAGCTCCAGACACTGGGAGATAGAGCGGCGGCAAATCAGATATAAATCTGAAGTAGAAATGAAGACCGTCTGAGAATCTCACGGTCGCCAGGGAGACTCTTTCGGTCCCTGAGGCCTGGAAGCTGTAGCCACAATCGGGGGTGGGGTGGGGGTTTCCTCACAGCTCGTCATGACTGAAGGTATGCAAAACCAGGCGGGGTTACACACACAGACACGTAACCCCCCATCAGTGCGTGGATTAAATAACGATACCAGGGCACTTATCTTCTCACATCCCTGCAGCCACCCCCACCCCCAAAAACAGAAAGTCATTTAGAGGCATTCAATCTCAAAGACGATTGTAATCGTTATCCCCCCCGCCCCCCCCCC